AGGAAGGGCGTCAAGGAACTGATGCACCCTGTGGCCTTCTTCTCCAGAAAACCTTCGTCTGTGGAGAGGAATTATGATATTGGGGACCGGAACTTCTGGCCATCAAGACAGCATTAGAGGAGTGGAGGTACCTACTGGAGGGAGCCACACACCCAATCCTGATCTTCACGGACCACAAGAATCTGGAGTACCTGAGGACGGCAAAGCGCTTGAGGCCACGTCAGGCTAGGTGGGCACTCTTTTTCTCGAGGTTTGTGTTCCACATCACATACAGGCCCGGATCAAAGAACACAAAACCCGAACGCACTCTCGCGTATGTTTGAAGACCCTGAAGAACCCCACAAACCGGACACCATCCTGTCTACTGGGAATTTCCTTGCTCTACAGACCGAGCTACGGTCCCAACTGCAGGCTGCATCCAAAGGGATGCCGAGCCCACCAGGAGTTTCATTGCAAAGTAAGGAAGGACTTTGGTGGAAGGAGGGACGGATCATGGTGCCCGAAAGAGTCCCGTACCGCAGTTTTGGGTCACTGCCATGATCATCCTTTGGCTGGCCACTTCGGGGTATGGAAGACATTGGAACTGCTGCAACGTGTGTTCTGGTGGCCCAGCATGACTAAAGGATTGTGAAGCATACGTGAAAACCTGTGCGGTCTGCCAGAGAAACAAGCCCTCCAGGAGCAAGGCCTGGGGTCTGCTATGACCCTTACCCATACCTACAGGCCATGGGAGATGATTTCCATCGACTTCATCGTGGAGCTCCCACCATCCCAAGACCATACCGCCATTTTCATGGTGGTGGACCGCCTGTCCAAAATGGCCCATTTCCTGCCTCTGAGGAACACGCCATCAGCTGCAGAGACAGCACAAGTCTTCGTGAAGGAAGTGGTAAGACTTCATGGGGTCCCAAAGGACATCGTCTCAGATAGAGGGGTTCAGTTCACCTCTAAATTCTGGAGAGCACTGTGTGAGACCTTGGGAATCAAGCTGTCGTTATCTTCGGCATACCATCCACAGACCAACGGGCAGACGGAACGCACAAACCAGACTCTGGAGCAGTATCTCCGGTGCTACACTTCTTTCCTCCAGGATGATTGGCTGACTCTCTTGCCACTGGCCGAATTCACATATAACAATGCAAGCCACTCTGCTATTCAACAATCTCTGTTTTTTCGCCAACTACGGATTCCATCCCACATTTCTACCCGACACGATTCCAGAGAGTCCAGTACCAGCTACACAGGATATGTTACAGTTCTTCTCAGCAAATAACAAGGTTCTACAGGAGGCTATTGCAAGAGCCCAAGAAGATAGTAAAAAGGCCTTCGATAAGAGGAGGAGAGGCAAACTTGTTCTGCACCCTGGGGACCAGGTCTGGCTAGTCACAACAAACCTGAAAATGTCTTGCCCATCAAGGAAATTAGGACCAAAATTCATGGGTCCATTTAAGGTGAAACGGAAAATTAACGAGGTGGCATATGAACTCGTACTCCCCGAATAATTTAAAATACACCCAGTTTTTCACGTGTCCTTGCTAAAACCCACGGCACCGGATCCATTCCCGAACCGGAGATCTAGACCTCCGGAGGCCATAAACATTGATGGGGAAGAGGAATTTGAGGTTCGAAACAATTCTAGATTGGAGGAAAAGGAGAGGCCAGACCCAATTCCTCATTAAATGGAAAGGTTACGGCCCGGAGAAAAACTCATGGGAACCAGCCCAGAACATCCATGCCTCTAGACTAATTCGGGAGTTTTTTTCGCAATCACCCACGCAGGAGAGAACAATTGGGCATCCGGCGGCTGCCCATAGGAGAAGGCAATGTCAGGGATCGGTGGTTCTGCCGCAATGTGCCAGGCGGCGCATTCACAGAACACTGATGCACCCTAGCCAGCGAGCAGCGGGACCTGGGCGATCACGACGGCCGTGCATGCGCACTCGCGATCGCGGGCACACGCGCCTGGCACCAATGACAGCGCAGGGCAGGCTATTTAAACATGACAGGAGGTATGTCAAATTGCCGTTTGGTCTTATCTGCTCTGTTCCTGATATCTGATCCTGTGAATCTTCTGTTGCCGACCTCTGCATTGTTCCTGACCCTGCTGACCGTCTCCTGTTTAACCCCTGGCTTGCCTGACCATCCTTCTGCCTGATCCTCTGTACTGCGCTGTCCATTAGTTACTGAATCCGGCTTGTGACCTTGACCATTCTCTGCCTGCTCCTCTGGTACCTTGCTGCCCGCACGTTGCTGACCTGGCCTGCCTGACTATGCCTTACGTTACCCAGACGATCCATCTATCCCGCACGGATCTGTCCCTGTTACCAGGTCTGCCAGCCTCTTCACGTCAGGCTCCTTTCCCCGCACACCTCTGATGACGCTCTCTGCCATTGCCGGACGTACTCAGGGGTCGCAACCTGGTCTCAGTCTGCTCCAAGTCCATCCCCACCATCAGGGGCCCTGCTGAATAAGCAGATTGGGACTTAGACCCCGTGCCCTGAAGAACCCCGTGCTGTGGGCTGCTAGAGACGCCGCCAGGCGGTGCTTAACACCGATTGAGCATGCATTTCACTTGCTGAAGACAAAACTGAAGGGAAAATGCCCCAAGAACAAGCAGGAACTGAAGACAGTTGCAGTAGTGGCCTGGCAGAGCATCACCAGAGATGAAACCCAGTGTCTGGTGATGTCTATGCGTTCCAGACTTCAGGCTGTAATTGACTGCAAAGGATTTGCAACCAAGTATTAAAAAGTGAAAGTTTGATTTATGATTATTATTCTGTCCCATTACTTTTGGTCCCTTAACAAGTGGGAGGCACATATGCAAACTGTTGTAATTCCTACACCGTTCACCTGATTTGGATGTAAATACCCTCAAATTAAAGCTGACAGTCTGCAGTTAAAGCACATTGTGTTCGTTTCATTTCAAATCCATTGTGGTGGTGTATAGAGCCAGAAATGTTAGAATTGTGTCGATGTCCCAATATTTATGGACCTGACTGTAAATGTTAATAGCCAAGTAGAAGCATTTAAAAAAGATGGTAGCTCAAGACTTGGAAAAATGCAACATTCCAAAAATTTTAACTATTAAAGGAATTGAAATAGGGGCAAAGAGACTACAAAAAAACGAGATAATATAGTAATACGACCAGCTGACAAAGGAGGAGGAATTGTGATCTTAAAGATACTAAATAAAAAAGAATCCAGGTATCTGGTACCTGATACTTGCCGGAGGATACCAATCATCTATACGGTACCAAAAATTCATAAAGATAAATTGAATCCGCCTGGAAGGCTGATTGTTAATGGCATAAACTCAGTGGCAGCTCGTTTGGGTCAATATATAGATCAGTATCTCCAGCCATTAGTTCTTAAAAACACAATCATATTTGAGGGACACAAAAAATGTCATTCAATTATTAGAGACAGTGCAATTAGATTCGCCCACAATCTTTCTGGCAAGTGCAGACGTCTTGTCACTTTATACTATTATTAGTCATCAAGATGTCATGGAAGCCACTGGATGGGGATTGAGAGAACTTGGACATTTTGAAAGGTCACAAAGGACATTTTTATTAGATTGTTTATAATTTGGGTTAGAACACAATTATTTTTGGCATCAAGATAAGTTTTACAGCCAGATTAAAAGAGTAGCAATGGGAGCACGCTTTGCCCCAATTTATTAATTGCCCACTGGGAAAGAGAGGCCATATATTTACACCCCTACAAGAATTAAAGATATATAAAAGATATATTGATGACATGATCATCATATGGGAAGGTGAGAAAGGGGATCTCACAGGTTTCCTTAACCAACTCAACCTGAATACCAAAAACATTAGGTTTCTTGGGATTATAAATAACACTACTATTAACTTCCTAGATTTAACTATCACACTGAGGGAAGGTAAGATCTATACCAAGACCTTTTTTTAAAGAGGTAGACCGTTACACCATTTTGTTTTTAATATACATATTTTTCTTTTTTTTTGGCTCATGTATGGGCTGCCTAATGCCTGGGCATTTTGGGTGTACAGAATTATAGATGTGTTGCAAGTTTTGAAAAGTAATGAAAAGTAATTGCCTTTTAAAATATTACAGAATTATAGATGTGTTTGAAAAAAAAAGTTTTGAAAAGTAATGACCATTTCAAATACTACTGAACTTTTCAGAGACTCTAATGACAGAATGAGTGCATTTCCACTTTTGGTGTGTTGTTCCTGCTGAACTGTGTTACAGTTTTTACAAAAGCCCTGTTTAGGTATCCTAAAGGCTTCAAAGCTCCTTCACTTTGGAATATCAGCCCAGTGCTGAAGAACTCTTATAACCCCCAGTTTACATTTCAGCACATGGAGGGAATGAAAAAGCAGATAAAAGTGGTTTTCAATATCAAAATTTCCAACCTTTCTGATGCTGTTGTCCACTGATTTTGACCCAGATAGCATCCACATGTGTGTAGGGTTTCCCTTTGCTCTGTGGAAAAAGCTACACTTCAATGAACCTATGATGCAGCCCTGTTTCTGTTTTTAGGTTACCTTTCCATTTTAGGCAGGTGGAATGCCAAGAGCTATATTTGGTATGAGCTAAGATCCTGTATGATAGCCAGAATGTTATCCTAGTGCAGATATCTTCTGAGTGTCTGAACTGAATCTGTAGTAGGTATGGATGTGAAAGTGGTATGATACCACAGGATACCGCAGTCAACTCAATCTCTAGTTTTGTTTCATCAGCCATGTAGCAAAATATTTAGAGATATGAAAGGGCACTAGGATGGTCCTCCAATATGTTGTTGCTAATAGATGTTGGTTTACTTTTGATAAATTTCCCAATAGCACGGACATACTACAGTGATTTAATTAGATTCTAGTTGTGAATTGTCACCTGTATTTGTAAGATTACATAAGATTGCATAATTACTAAGATATCCATAACATAATAATGCAATTTATTTATTTTCTTTAGATTTATGAAAATGTTTACTAAAAAGAGTTTACAGTACTTACACGCCAGATGCAATGCACTCCAAAAGTAGATCTTCATCCCGCAGAACCAGCTTGGTGCTTGATGTCCCCATAGGCAGCAAGAATGTTGGTATCCGCTCTGGTACCCCTCGAGCTGGAAAATGAGCATACCAGAGATGTAACTTTTGCTACAAAACTGTAAGGGTTCCTGCACACAATCATATTTGATGTGTCTGTAAAGTTGTATCATCCCTTATGAAAAAAAACTGGAAATAAAAAAGGGAAGGTTCTCTCTAAAGCAGCAATTTATCCCTACTACAATTTTGTTAAAGTACATTAGAAAACAGTCATCACCCCCCCCCCCCTTTCCAAGATATGTGAACACTATTACTGGTTTTCTCATTATCCTCAGTCTTTATGAAGGCAAGGTGTTCTGCTATGTTAAGGAAACAGTTAAAATAATAAACCATTAGAATTTCAATTTATGAGCAAGGTAGCATTATTAGACGTTTAGTCAATAGTATAAAATAGATTTATCCAGTAATATCATATTTCTATTAGAAAAAATTGCTGCTTTAGTGCCTGCCACGCTGGAATTCAGTTGGGTCTTGGGTGAGATTTAAATTGTTATAAGGATCACTATACAAGCTTATTACACTGGACAGACTTTCCACCAAGAAAAATAGGTGGTGGGAAATCTACCTATTCTCAAACTTAACAGGTCTGTATGCTATTCCTGACACAGTTTAGTTGATGTTGTGTAAAGGCACATGCATGGTTTTATACCTTTATTCACTTTGGCCCTTGGTCACATAAATATTTTGGAAAGCTGAGTGTTTACCTAGTGCCTCTGACAGCAAGAAATAACAATTATCAGCCACCTGAAATCCCTAAATGTCTTGACTTTCACCCAATTTTCAATCTGGCTAGAATAGAGCTGTGTATGACCATCATACTACTATCTACTCAATCTATGTACAGACTTAATACATTGCATGTTACTATTTATGTAATATCTTGTGCCCACAATATGTGCTAATTCATGAATAAAATGTAGCTAATGTATAGGCCACATTGATGACCTTTTTTATATTAAAAATGAATGCAGGAGGGAGAGTTTTCTTGGAGTACTGATATCCCATGTTTTTTGTCATTTTGGAGAATTTTCAAATCATTGTATGCACATAATCATGTTCAAGCTGAATTATGATTCCAGACATTTATGGGTTTAATGCTCATTGTAAAAAAATGACATTTTCAGCAACATTTTCTGCATAGTTAAACAATCTTGATAGAAAATCTTGATGAAAAAATGTCTGATAGGGAAGTGGGGGGAAGCAACCTTAGCACCTAATTAAAAGCTGAGGTTTCTTTGTGGTCCTATTTCCCTTTTTGGCTTCACCAGAATTTATTCTGCAGTTTAAAGCTCACTTTTTTATAACTACCACTAGTTAGAGCAGAAGTAAAATGCAAACAATCTGATCAATGCTACTGTTGCTTTTTAAATATGGACACTATAATGGTAAATTTGACCATTCTGGAATAAATTGATTTATTTTATACAGTTGCAAAATCTGGGTTAATGAGTATATGAGCTGGGTGTGTACATCTAAGGAAATTATATGGCATTCACTGCAGGTGAATCAGTTTGAGTGCCGATTCATACTGATGCATTGAAAAATTTGCACGGGTTTCTGTGCGATTCTCACAAAGCATCAAAATCGCTCCGCATTAATGTGAACCACTGCAAGTGTATATGTTAACGACACCCCAAAATCAGTTAAAAAAATGAGGTGCAATTTGCAGAATCAGATCACATGGATGTGAATACCCATGTGATCTGATTCTGATGTGGACAAAAAAAGGATCTTGCACGATTTTGGTGCAAATGCGATGCGATTTGAGCCATACAAAATGTATGGCTTAAATTGCACAGCACAGAAATTGCATTTGATTTGCACAGGAATGCGGTGCAATTCCTTTGCGAATCATGTGCAATGTGGCAATTTGTAAAACACATGCATCAGGAAGATACAGATGCAATACATTTTGGTAAATGTCACATTCACTGTTTTATAAATATACCCCCTAACCAGGAAGGGTGGGAGGAGGTGGCAAAAAATGGTTTGTTTTTTTAAAGAAGGAATGTTGGATGCTCTATCAGTAAAAAAAAAAATATGAAAGGTTTTTATGATCATAGTTAATGAATGGGCATTAACTAAACACTTCAGCTCTCAGACCATATGGGTCAGTAAAACTTATACATTTCTGCTATGGGACTACTGATTCAGCAATAACTGTGTTATTACATAGGATAACAAAGTAATACATTTTTTAAATTTTTACATTGAATACATATTTTATTTTTTAGTACCAGCAAATACCACTAAGGTTTTCACTTGGCAATATTGTCTTTCAAAGGTAATTTTACTTTCTATGCAATATATAGACAAATTAGGAAAACAGAAAGAAAATTTTTTTTTTTTCCAGATTGAGCAGCGTCTGTTTTAAAATGACTAGTGTTACTGTTGATCAAAAGTAAATATTGTATTTTATAATTTGTTAACAGTGACTTCAAAATTATGTTCCTATTATAAAGGGTTACATACAAATGAAACAAATTAAAACTAAATATGTTGTAACATTAGCGGTAAAAAAAAAAAAAAGAAAACAAATTTAAACAAATTAGCAAAATGATAGCTAAGGGAAGTGGGGAAGGAAGAAGTTAAAATACATGTGATTTTTTTTTCTTTTTAATTTGGGTTTCAGTTAAATCCCTTGTTAAGTTTTATTTTCTGTGTCCCTTGCTGGGAAGATTCATCCCTCTATTTGTCCTAGTGATCATTATTGATGAGACAGAAAGTAAAAGGAAATATTTTAGAGCAAGGGATGAAGATAAAAAAAATCCTCCAGTAGAGACACCCGCTCCAGTGCCAAATTTCTAAGACTATCCCATCCACATTGGAGAGAGTTTCTTTCATGTCTTTTTCTATCTTCTGGACAAGCAGTAAAGGTAAATTTCCCCAATGGGACACAGTCATCAAAAAATAACATGATAGGGATGTAACCCTTCCATTATTTTTCTAAAAGTAAAAAATGGCTTGACATACACTATAACTGGTGAACTAAGGGTTAATAAGGAGTTAATTAGGAATATCATTTATTGAAAAACTTTTTTTTTACTTGCAAGGTTGCTTTAACTGAGAGCATATGTAGATCAACATTCATCCTTTTGATCTGTTGTAAATGAGCCTTGGTAATTACAATGTAGCAACAGTAATGTTGCTACATCATAAGTATTATGACACATCAGACACACTTTTCCATGATTGTCAATTTACACAGGAACAATTAAAACTATCTGAAAGACAGCCAGGCCAGGAAGTTTGCTCTCTTTTTTAATGTGCAGGTTCATGTTGTCATCCTACTTGTATGTTGTTCTTAAAAACAATGTGGGAGGTACTTGAAAATCCTCATTTATAAACAACAAAAATTAACTTCGGTAGTAAATAATGAGCTCCAGTGATGTGAGTATCCTGCTGTCTTAAAAGCAATGACAAGAACTTGCTTGAAAACATGAAAGCCACAAATCACAAGTGCAAAGCCAGCTTTGGTTACAGACACACATATAGCAACAGCCAGGCATATATTAAACTAGAAATAGAAGCAAAGCAAAAACATCCTTTATGAAAACATACCTAGAACGTTTACTTAACAGCAATAAAAGAGTTGGGGGATATCTAGAGATAACACAATAACATTTTCATGTAACAATTATTTACATGTAGTTTCCCAGATCAGCTTGTCTGCGAAAATAGACAGTGATTTAATAAAGATGAACATGAATAATTTTGTATAACCATATTATACAATCATATGTTCTCTCAAATACAATGTTGCTATTTGAAGCTTACTTTGTAATTTAATAATTTATGATCATGTCACAACTGCTCTAAGTCTCTTATCACTCTTTTAATACAAAGATGACATAGCCCTGTCTTTGAGATAGAAAGAGGGTGGTTTGCTTTCAGGAACTGTTGTTATAAGGACTAAAAATTATTTACAAAAATGCTTATATCTTTTTGCCAGGTAAATATGCAATATTACATTTGAATGTTATGTACTATTTTACCCAGCCAGAAGGTGGTCTTCTCTTCACCAGTTTTGCGGCTTCACCTTAGCCCAGTGTAATAAAATAACCAAATTTACAAACAGTAGTAAATGAGTCAGATGTGTGACTCATCCCTTTTTAGAAACACTCAGTCTGAACTTTCAGTCAGGCAAGGGCAGTCTAAAAGGGAGCTGCTTTTATTGTGCTGTTTCCTTAGCTAACCAATATTGCTCTGGTAATCCTTTCTCATATGTCACATTTTTATTTTTTAAACAAACCACACTAAAGTAGATATAGACATTTGCAGTTTCTCTTAGTAAAAGAAAAAATAAACACCTATATTGCATTTTGTTTACCTGTATTTTATTTAATTTACCTCTATTTTAATGACCATCATGGCCCTGGAAACCAGTATTATCAATATTTTGTTTTATTATTTATTTTTCCTCCTTTGAGTATTTAAGAGAAACATGGGGGGTTTATTAAAACTGGAACATTCAGAATCTGGTGCAGCTGTGCATAGTAACCAGTCAGCTTCTAACTTCATCTTGTTCAATTAAAGTGTTACTAAAAACCCACAACAGTAAAATCAGTCTGTATATGCAATAAAGCATGCTTGTTATACTCACTGTGGAACCTAAGGGGTTAATCCTCTGCATTGTGTATAAAGGCTGTTTGATCCTTTCTTCTCTGACCCTCCTCTTGTTGAAATGATCACCTGATACAGACTGCTCAGTTTGGTGTGTATTGTTAGAGAGGTTTTTTTTTCTTTGGAGAGTGCATGTGATCAGCATAGGGCCGATCAGTACTGTCCAGAGGGTCAGGGGTTTCACACCCTCCTAGAGCAGAAAGAAAACTTCTCCTACAAGCTTTAACCAGTGCTCTGCTGAAGTCACAAGACTGCTCTAACTGCTGATGAGAAAATGTATTTAGCAGTTTATATTTACTAAAATAATTGCATTTCCATGTTGTGTGTACTGTGGGAGATCAGCTTTAGTGAATGCAGGGTCCTGGGTTTAGTAACACTTTAAGGTGATACTAAACACACACTATTTAATATACATTATCTCTTCTCTTTCTGTATAGGGTTGATGGCACTGAAATTATTTTAATTAGAAAAAAATCTAAATACTGTTTTCCTAATCGATATACAGCTGTCACATGACCCATCTCATTCATAGCCTGTCTGCAGGGAAACATAAGCAGGAGGAGCTTCTAGTCCTCTGCTTCTGGTCACACATTCAACCACTCCTATTGTGTTTAGCTGATTAGTGGGCATGGAGGAGGAGGGAGGGAGTGGGCTGTCATTTACCATTGTGTATATGCCCATATACAGATGCATCTCAATAAATTAGAATATCATCAAAAAAGTTAATTTATTTCAGTAATTCAATTAAAAAAGTGAAACGCATATATTATATAGATTCATTACACACAGAGTGATATATTTCAAGCATTTCTTTCTTTTAATTTTGACGAATATGGCTTACAGCTAGTGAAAACTCAAAATTCAGTATCTCAGATAATTAGGATATTACATTGACCAATAAAAAAAGGATTTTTAATACAGAAATGTTGGCTTATTGAAAAGTATGTCCATGCACAGTATAATATTCACTCAATACTAGATCGGGACTCCTTTTGCATGAATTACTGCATCAATGCATGGAGGTGATCAGTCTGTGGCACTGCTGGGGTATTATGGAAGGTTGCTTTGATAGTGGCCTTCAGCTCACCTGCATTGTTGGGCCTGGTGTCTCTCATCTTTCTCTTGACAATACCCCAAGAGTCTCAATGGGGTTTAGGTCAGGAGTGCTTTTTATGATATTCTAATTTATTGAGATGCACCAGTATGTAACTTGTGATAGTCACATGGGCTGCTCAGATGTGACAGGGAGGAAATGCTCAGCATAAAAAACTCACTGAAAACTGAGCATGTGCAGTAACTACCAACACTGCTCTGCAAAATCCCTAACTGCATTGGGGGTATGAACTGAGGGGGGAGATAGAGAACTACAGGATCAACCAGATTTTTTGCAGAATACAGAAAACGAATCCCATAATGACTAATTGAGTATGGACAGCTTGCAATAAAGCATTTATTGATAGTTTTTTACGAAGTGGGTTTAGTGACACGTTAAGCTTTGACAATAAAATCTAAGAGCTGATTGGTTACTATGCACAGCTGCACCATATTCTGTGTGCTCCAGCTTCAGTAAATTCCTCCATAGCTTCCTACAACCAAACTATAATCATTTTGGGCTAGGTACTGCATATTTATGGATTTTTTAACTTGCCCTTGAAGTAGTCGCATTTTACACTCCCTAGGTTCTACATATTTCCTTAATATTATTACTTAGACTGGGTATATAAACAAACATCAGTCACTTCTGCCGAATCAAATCCTAAATAAACACATCTCTACATCTGTAATTTATTAATAGGAGCAGAATATCATGAAGGCTAACAGTCTTTGTATAAACATTTCCAGTAAATCTAGCACAATAATCCTACATTTCATATTTTTGAATAATGACCTGACTAGAACTTTCACCTATATGAAATGTTATGAGTATAATGAATACTGTTAGCTACAAGGTGAGTTAGATTGGAAGTCATAAGACCCCAAGGACTCACCATGATACATAATAGTATGGTTCACGGAATGTACTGCAGAGTCATTACGGGAATTCTCTGTAATAAACAAAACACGGTGAGAGCCCTGGAGGAACACATACTGAAGTGATAGATATGAAGAAGAAAATATATAGAGAATAAAAAGAAGTAGGAGCACTAGAAGGCAAAAAAAAAAAAGGTCAAAAGAAAAGATTTAAAGATGTCAAAGATTGGGGCCTCTTTACAAAGGTTCTAATTGCTATTTTACTGTTATTTGGTATACATGAAAATATGGTCTATTAAATGGAAGAAAACTGAAGAAGTTTCCTAAAGTTGGTACACATTTCTATGAATTTTGGCATTTATTTTGCTTTTTATCAATAATTTTTTAACCAATGTACTATTTACCATTTGTGCTCTAACTACCATCTTTGAAGTTTAAAAATTGGATACATTGGAAAATGTGAAATGAAATAAACAGCAATCAGTCTTTAGAAATAGGCCCCTTGGTAAGTAATACAAACATAATAGGTGTGAGTGTGCTGGCAAAAGCATGTAGCAAACATTCATTACAAATTGTACCTTGAAAGTAGACACAATTGATAAGGAAATTTCTTTAGTTGAAACAAATCACAAAAAGTGATGAAAGACAGTGACATGGTAGAAAAATGAAACATTCCGCTATGCTAACATAGCTGAAATGAAAAACAGCAAGGCATCCTCAGCAGCAGCAACAAGCAAAATGCAATTATTACGCAAAATGGTATTTTCCCCAAAAAGCATGGAACCTCTAGTAAAATAAAAGCAAAATGTTAAATAACTTATAACAAATGACAGCAATTTTTTGTGGCAAATGGCAAAAACTAGTTTACCAATATGATCCAAAGGAGAACTCTGTCACACGGCTCAGGGAAAAAACACTGAAAGGTCACACATAATCAAATTCCAAGTGATATGCTATTGACATCTTTAATACAGAGTTGCAGTGGTAGGCCTTCTGACTTTTTCTTAGCCCAGAGAAGGCAGCCACTTGAATACTCTGCATCTCAGTGTTGTCACTAGCCTCCAGTGCACCCATGTGTTCTTATCACTATAGATGAAAGTTACAGCTAATGAATGGACACTAATTTTGGATTTTTGTGTACCTTAAACAGCCCATATATGAATCAGTTTTTTTCCTGCAACCAGCTGGTTGTATGAAAAAAACTGATTTGATTACCGCTTCCACACATTTGAGTTGGATAGGGGAATCCTCTGTGCTGAGCTATTGCATTCTGAAAACAGGAAGACTTCCCTGCCTTCATAATGTACTGATCAGCATTGCCGGCAACTGCCAGCTGCGCTAATTGAGTGGAAAATGTAGACAGGGCTGTTTTACAGAAGTCAATTGGTAAATCAACTTCTGTACAACCACCCTGCCCATACATAGATTGAAATTCAGCCAGTCCCCACTAAACCAGCAAATTTCACTCCATGTATGACTGGCTTTAGGTATTATGGAGTTTTCTAAACAATGTACCTATTGATAAAAAGTCTTACAGTAGATTGTACGTGTGCCACTCATTTATTCTATAGATGTGATTAGTGCCGTTTTAATCTAGCCTGGCCATATATTGATAAAGACAGCATAATAGTTCGTAATATATCACCATAACAGTTGATAGTGACTTGGTGTTGAATTAGGCTCTTCTTAAATGCAGGTGATACCTTTGAGAAAGAAAATGCATTAAAACAAAGATTTGTGACAATAAAATGCTCACTTACTGGTCAGTACTTTTAAAGTGTATGGATTTTTCTGCTGTATGGTATGTGTGAAATGGGAGCGAGCATTGCAGCTATAATCTGTCACAGCATCCTCACGCAAGACATTAGAGAAGTAGAGGTCTCCATTCAGACCCTGGGACACTCTTCTGTTCTGCACAATTGGCTCCATTGCTACACAAGCAAAAAAGGAAATACATATCAGGTAAGGATGACAGAGCACAGCTACCGCATTGTTTAACTATTGTATAAGCATTCACACTGGATAACAAAGAGATGTTTTCCAATTTGTAATCTCAAAAGTAGACAATTCACTAGAAACATGTTTTATTTACTGAACAAGTTCAATATCAGTGCTTTGAGTTATTTAGCCCCTAAAGTTAGTGTTAGTTTTGTTGTATGATATTTTATTGCAATATGCTTTTTCAAAGGCTAAAGCTAACTACACATTACACAATTTTCTTGTTCAATTTCCTTTAGATTTACTTTCAACTATGTAGTGCAAGGGCCTGCCTGATTGCATACAATTTGAAAGTGTTGAGGTTTGACCTCATATTATATGGTTTTGGTAAATCTAAAGGAAGTTGTAAAAAAAAAAAATGTATAATATGTAGCCAGCTTCATCTTTTGTGAACGAAGCACACAGAAATATTGTGAAATTATGAATACATTCTAGTGTGCCTTCATTCCTAATATTAGGGCATAACGTTACCTCACTGATACATTTTGACATTCCTAAAATATCAATTACCTATACCATGAGATAAATAACAAATGTGTTTTTTTTTTAATTTAACTCAATGATTTATCTTGTTTTATTTGTGGTATTCACCTCACATAGGATTTTCCACAAATGTGGTATTTTACTTTGATGAAATGACTCTTATTTTATTGCCCACTTTATTATTATTTAAAAAAAATTCCACAAATATTAACTAACTAAATTAAAACGATACAATCCAAATTGATTTGAAGTGCAGACTTTCAGCTTTAATTCAAAGGATTGAACATAAATATCAAGTACAAATTTTAGGAACTGTAACCATTTTTATACACAGTCCCTCCATTTTCAGGGGCTTAAATGTAATTGGACAAATTAATAAAATCATAAATAAAATGTTCCTTTTTAATATTTTGTTGAGAATCCTTTACTGTTGTTGTCCTTTACTGTACTTTGTTTGCGGATCTTTCTGTCTTAAGTTTTGCCTTCAGCAAGTGAAATGCATGCTCAGTTGAGTTGAGATCAGGTGATTGACTCGGCCATTGCAGAATATTCCACTTCTTTTCCTTCAAAAGCTCCTGGGTTGCTTTTGCAGTGTGTTTTGCATCATTGTCCATTGTACTGTGAAGCGCTGTCCAATCAACTTTGCTGCATTTGGCTGAATCTGGGCTGACAGTATCTCTGTAAACACTGCAGAATTCATCCGGCAGCTTCTGTCTTCTGTCACATCATCAATAAACACCAATGACCCAGTGCCATTGGAAGCCATGCATGCCCATGCCATCACACTACCTCCACCATGTTTTACAGATGATGTTGTGTGCTTTGGATCATGAGCTGTTCCAAACCTTCTCCACACTTTTTTCTTCCTGTCATTCATGGTACAGATTAATCTTAAATTCATCTATCCAAAGAATGCTTTTCCAGAACTGGTCTGGCTTTTTTAGATGTTTTTTGGCAAAGTCTAATCTGACTTTTCTATTCTTCAGGCTTATGAATGGTGAACCCTCTGTATTTGCTCTTGTGAAGTCTTCTCTTGATGGTAGACTTTGACAATGAAAACTCCTGGAGAGTGTTCTTCACTTGTCTGGATGTTGTGAATGGGTTTTCCATAGAGAGGAACCTGCTATCATCCACCACTGTTGTCTTCCATGGACATCCATGCCTTTTATGTTGCTGAGCTCACCGATGCATTCTTCTTTCCTCAGAATGTACAAAAACTGTTGATTATGCCACTCCTAATGTTGCTGCTATCTCTCTGATGGATTTCTTTCATTTTTGAAGCCTTACAATGGCCTGTTTCACTTGCATGGACAGCTCCTTTGAACGCATGATGTAGGTTCACAGTAATAGATTCCAAATGCAGATACCACACTTAGAATCAACTACAGACCTTTTACCTGCTTAATTGATGAATAAATAATGAAGGTGTATCCCACACCTGGCCATAAAATAGCTTTTGATTCAATTGTCCAATTACTTTTGGTCCCTTGAAAAAGGGGGGATGGCTACTCTTAAGAGCTGTAATTCCTAAACCCTCCCTCCAATTTGGATGTACAAACCCTCAAATTAAACCCGAGAGTGTGCACTTTCAGCCCACATCCATTATATAACTTTAGCTTGAATATGTTTAATAAATACCCAAAAAAAAAACTAAAATTGTGCCTGTGTCCAAATATATATGGACCTAACTGTATATATATATATATATATATATATATATTTATTTTTTAACATAAGAGGGTAACTTATAAATATCACTTTAGAGAAAAGGGAAGGACACTAAGAACTTAACAGAACATGGGACCTGTGGATTCGGTACCTGTCAGTTCCTTAATTAATTCCTGGCTGATCTCTAATCCCCTTTATTATTTTTTATTTCTGTCTTTTTCCTTTTTCTCCACATCTTTTCTCCATTTCATTTTCTTTCTTTATCTTTTTCTTTGATGAAGGATGCAGGCCCCTATTAAGATTAAGGTAAGGGGACACTACTTTTCCTAAATTCCTAAATTTATCAGTCACTTGTCACTCTTCCTATCCCACCCCCCACCCCCTTCATTGGTTTCCCCTTTCCCAGTGTATTGCTTATCCTGATCAATCCTGGGACTCTTGACTGTTAACATGGTTAGAAGTGGGAATTTCTGATAATTTTAATGTGTTGCTATTGTTTGTTGTGTATTTTCCTATTTGAATGACCCATGTTTACCTGCATAATTATTGTCCTCATTTTGATATACTTCTATGTTGCACTGGTGATAACCTGAAATTCTATTTTTATTGTATTCTTTACTTAATAGTTTCAATAAATATATTGGAAAGTAAAGTGAAGAGAAGGGTATACATTTAGGTTCAATATGTTTCTATATTTTTCACTTAGACTGCCTGCTTTTTTGGCATTTTCAATCTAATGAGAGAGCTCTCAATAAATAATGGTGCTCTTCTTAGGCTGTAGAGTTGTGCTCACAAATTTGCATACCCTGGCAGAAATTGTGAAATTCTGGCATTGATATTGAAAATATGACTGATCATGCCAAAAACTGTCTTTTATTTAAGGATGATGATCATATGAAGCCATTTATTATCACATTGCTGTTTGGCACCTTTTTAAATCATAATGATAATAGAAATCACCAAAATGGCCCTGATTAAAAGTATACAGTCAGGTCCATAAATATTGGGACATCTACACAATTCTAACATTTTTGGCTCTATACACCACCCACCACAATGGATTTGAAATGAAACAAACAAAATGTGCTTTAACTGCAGACTGTCAGCTTTAATTTGAGGGTATTTACATCCAAATCAGGTGAACGGTGTAGGAATTACAACAGTTTGCATATGTGCCTCCCACTTGTTAAGGGACCAAAAGTAATGGGACAGAATAATAATCATAAATCAAACTTTCACTTTTTTAATACTTGGTTGCAAATCCTTTGCAGTCAATTACAGCCTGAAGTCTGTAACGCATAGACATCACCAGACGCTGCGGTTCATCCCTGGTGATGCTCCAAGATAATGGAACTTTTTAAGATGGAAAAGGATATAAAAAAGATATCCAAAGCCTTGAATATACCAGTCAATACTGTTCAATCACTTATTAAGAAGTGCCATAAGTGCCAGAAGAATTGTTCAGCCTGGTTACAATGTGCCCGACAATACCTTGACACGCCTCACCACCAGGCTTTTTTGTAACATTGGCACAGTAAAATCTTCTTTTTGGCAACTCGACCATGCAGCTAATTTTTATTCAAGTTTCTTCGTATCGTCTTACATTTGAAAATACTTGAAACAACTACACCGTCATTTTCAGACTGGCCTGTATTTCTCCTCAGGTTACCTGTGGGTTTTTCTTTTGTATCTTGAACAATTCATCCGGCAGTTGTGGCTGCAATCTTTCTTGGTCTACCTGACCTTGGCTTGGTACCAAGAGATCCCCACATATTCCACTCCTTAAAAAGTGATCATTATGATTTAAAAAGGAGCCAAACAATATGTGATAATAAATTACTTCATATGATTACTATCCTTAAATAAAAGACAGTTTTTTTGGCATGATCATTTATAATTTCAATATCAATGGCAAAATGTATGATTTCTGCCAGGGTATGCAAACATTTGAGCACAACTGTATGTGGATTCTCAACTCTAGGTTCCCTTTCCCAAGGCGGGGCCGTTATGTGGATAGGTGCTATGCATTGCATCAATCTGACTGACTTTACCACCTTATTTTAATTCATGATTGACAACTTTTTGCTGTCAACCTAGTTATAACTGCATATTTTGTGAAAACGATATAAGAAACTGGGTGCAGACTGAAGAAACAGTTGTATTGCTACTCTTTTCCAGCTACTGAAGCACAGAACAGGACAATTAAAAATTTACTAATTTAATACTACCTAGACTACAGACAATTTAACAGCACAGTATTATTATTATTATTATTATAATACAGGATTTATATAGCGCCAACAGTTTGCTCACGCTTTACAATGTAACAGGAGACAATACAGCAACAATACAAATCAAATCAAGAAGGAAAGGAGGGCCCTGCTCCTTGGAGCTTACAATCTAGGAGGGAGGGGCTAGTGGTACAAAAGGTAGTAACTGTGGGAGATGGACTGGTTGAAAGAGTAGAAGATTCCATTATTAGCTGAGGGCAGGATAGGCTTCCCTGAAGAGATAGGTTTTCAGAGATCGTCTAAACGTGAGCAGAGTAGGCGATAGTCTGATAAATTGGGGTAGAGAGTTCCAGAGGATAGGGGAAGCTCTAGAAAAGTCCTGGAGACGAGCATGGGAGGAGGAGACAAGGGAGCTAGAGAGCAAGAGGTCTTGCGAGGAACGGAGAGTACGGTTTGGGTGATATTTAGAGACAAGATCATTGATGTAATTTGGGGCAGAGTTATAAATGGCTTGATACGTTATTGTTAATGTTTTGAATTTTATCTGTTGCGCTATGGGAAGCCAGTGGAGGGATTGGCAGAGAGGGGTGGCAGATACAGAATGGATAGTAAAGTGGATAAGTCTGGCAGCAGCATTCATGATAGACTGAAGAGGGGATAGCCTGCGATTCGGTAGGCCAATGAGGAGGGAGTTACAATAGTCAAGGCGAGATATAACAAAGGAGTGAATAAGTTGCTTAGTGGTTTCCGAGGTTAGGAACGGGCGTATCTTGGAGATGTTGCGGAGGTGAAGTCTACAAGATTTGGACAGTTATTGGATTTGGGGGTGAAAGGACAGATGGGAGTTTAGGATTACACCTAGTACCCTGGCATGAGGGGAGGGAATGATGATTGTGGTATTGATCTTCATGGAGAAGTCAGGGGAGGGGGCATGGGCTGGGGAGAATACTAAGAGCTCAGTTTTGGAAAGATTGAGTTTGAGGAAGTGGAGTGACATCCATGCCGATATGTAGCTTAGTAGGTTAGTAATGCGAGAGGAGACTGAAGGGGTGAGGTGAGGGGTAGAAAGATAGATTTGTGTGTCATCAGCATAGAGATGGTACTGAAAGCCATGGAAGTTTATCAAGTGACCAAGGGAGGAGGTGTAGATGAAGAAGAGAAGAGGTCCAAGAACAGAACCTTGAGGGACCCCTACAGAAAGAGGAAGTGAAGAGGAGGAGGCAGCATTATAGGTAATGCTCAAGGAGCGCTGCCATAGGTAGGAGGAGAACCAGGAGAGAGCACAGTCTCTGAGACCAAGAGAGTGGAGTTTTTTTTTTTGAGGAGGGGATGGTCAACCGTATCAAAAACCGCAGCGAGGTCAAGCAGTAAGAGTACAGAGTAGTGGCCATTGGTTTTAGCTGTTAGTAGATCATTAGTGAGTTTTAGTAGGGCAGTTTCAGTGGAGTGTAGAGAGCGAAAGCCAGACTGTAAAGAAGAAGGTTGTTGTCAGTGAGGTGGGAGCTCAGGTGATTGTAGACTAAGCGTTCTAGGAGTTTAGAGGTAAATGGCAGCAGGGAGATAGGTCTTAAGTTGTTCAGGTTGGTGGGGTCCAGGGAGGGCTTTTTAAGTATAGGAGTGATGTGCGCATGCTTTAGAGGGGAGGGGAAGGCACCAGTAGAGAGGGAAAGATTGAAGATGTGAGTGAGGGAGCATAGGATGAAAGAAGAGGGTGACCGTAGTAGTTGTGAAGGGACAGGATCCAGGGGGCAGGTAGTGAGACGGGCTTCTGAGAAAACCTTAGTGACCTCTTCGGTAGTAGCAAGGTCAAAAGAGGAAAGTGTTGAGGGAGGTTTAGTATAAGGTATGCTAAGAGGGATGGATGTCTGTGCAGTGGTGATGCCCCTACGAATTGCATCAATCTTGTTTTTGAAATGATTTGCAATCTCGTGGGCAGTGAGTGAGGTACTGGGTGTAGGTGGAGAAAGTAGAGAGTTAAAAGTAAAGAAGAGACGACGAGGACTGGATGACAAGGTATTAATAAGAATGACAAAGTAGGCTTGTTTGGCAGCATGAAGGGAGGAATTGTATGTTGAGAAAGCAGATTTATATAGGGTGAATGCTTGCAGGGATTTGGTTTTACGCTACAATCGCTCCAGCGCACGACTATGTCGTTTAAGATTTCTGGTGTCGTCAGTCTGCCAAGGTTGTAACGGTCGGGGCCTGATGCTTCGTGTTGTTAGAGGAGCAAGTGAGTCTAATGCGGATGAAAGCGAACTGTTGTAGACAGCAGTGGCCAGGTCAGGGCAGGACAGGGGAGAGATTCTGTCATAGAGTTGGTGAGTTTCAGAGTGGAAAGGAGCAGGGTTCAAGTTGTGAAGGTTTCTGCGGGTAATTGTTTGAAATATCTCAATATTAATGTGTTTGGCAGTCTTTCTGATTCTTAGAAACTACATAATGCAGTACTAAGATTTACGAAACTATTTTTATTAACACAATACAGTACTTTTAAATATCCTCACACATTTTGATAGTCAGAACACATAAACTAGCCTCTCCCACTTACAGCTGCTCATCCAGAATATGACTGGAGGAGGGAGACCTGGAGGAGGGTTGCATTGCAGAATGAGAGATGTCCCTTCATTTACAACAACCGGATCTAGGTATTCTTTTGGCCATAGTAGAGATCCTGTGAAATAAAGGCATGTGGCAAGGTTAGAAATTTCAGCTGCACTTTCATCATTTTAAAATTAAACCACTGAGTATGTTATAAATCACCTAGGCACTTATTTGTTTATTTATTTGTTACAGGTACTTATATATATTGTACAGTCACATCAGTCCCTGCCCTCAAGCAGCTTACAATCTAAGGTTACTAAAGCCTGGTACATACAGGCTGCATATCAGCCTGTATCAGCCGGTTCAACAGAGACTGTCCGACAGTTGGCCTGTAGCAGGCTGTCTGACAGAAGCCAGCCGAATGTCCGGCTTCTGTTGAACGGGCATGCTGGCAGAATAGCAGGTGATTGGCTTCCCATCAGCGCTTGCAACAATATCTGTGAGCGCTGACTGGGGTGTTCTGGGGGGGGGCTTAAGGGGTGGCCCCCCATCAGAACACAATAGCTCAGTGGGAAGATCTCTGTATTGACATCACCTAGTTAGTACAGTGAACGTCTCCGTTTTTTTTTTCTGTGTGCACTGCCTATGTGTACCAGGCTCAAAGAATAACTAAAAGCAAAACTTTTTTGGGAGTTTTGGACAGAGTGGAGATGGATTAGAACACCTGTCAGTTTTCATTGCTGTCTGTTGCCCATTAAGGAGATTCACCCTCTTTATTTGTCCTGTTTTACCATCATCATTGAAAGTGAAAGTAAAAGAAAATCACAAATTTTGGGTTGTCACCAGAATGTAATAGAGGAAAAATCTTACAATGGGGACACTAGTTCTGGTGACCTGAGGGCCCTTAAAGGAATTCCCTTAAATTGCAAGGATTTCCTCTCACTTAATGTTTGGCTATGGGACAGGAAGTAAAGGCAAATCTCCGCAATGGGACACCAATGGTGAAAAAAAATCTGACGGGTTATAACCCTACCTTGCCCTATGGAAAATGAAAAAAAAAATGTTTTGCCTATAGTTCTATTTTAACTAACATTCATACAAACACACACTTGGGCCAGTTTAGACAGAAGCCAATCAACCAAACAGCATGTCTTTGGAATGTGTGAGGAAACCAGACCTGTACCTGATCAAGTAATTTAATATTGGCAATATATATTTTATATATATATATATATATATATATATATATATATATATATTACACACAGGTGAAACTCGAAAAATTTGAATATCGTGCAAAAGTTCATTTATTTCAGTAATGCAACTTAAAAGGTGAAACTAATATATTTGATAGACTCATTACATGCAAAGCAAGATAGTTCAAGCCGCGATTTGTATTCAGAAAATCAAGAATTGTGAAAATAATTATGGCTTACAGCTCATGAAAACCCAAATCCACAATCTCAGAAAAATAGAATATTGTGAAAAGGTGCAATATTCTAGGCTCAAAGTGTCCCACTCTAATCAGCTAATTAAGCCATAACACCTGCAAAGGGTTCCTGAGCCTTTAAATGGTCTCTCAGTCTGATTCAGTAGGAATCACAATCATGGGAAAGACTGCTGACCCGACAGTTGTGCAGAAAAACCATCATTGACACCCTCCATAAGGAGGGAAAGCCTCAAAAGGTAATTGCAAAAGAAGCTGGATGTTCCCAAAGTGCTGTATCAAAGCACATTAATAGAAAGTTATATGGAAGGGAAAAGTGTGGAAGAAAAAGGTGCACAAGATGCAGGGATGACCGCAGCCTGGAGAGGACTGTCAGGAAAAGGCCATTCAAAAGTGTTGGGGACTTTCACAAGGAGTGGACTGAGGCTGGAGTCAGTGTATCAAGAGCCACCACACACAGATGGATCCTGGACATGGGCTTCAAATGTCGTATTCCTCTTGTCAAGCCACTCCTGAACAACAAACATCGTCAGAAGCATCTTACCTGGGCTAATGAAAAACAGACCTGGTCTGTTGCTCAGTGGTCCAAAGTCCTCTTTTCTGATGAGAGCAACTTTTGCATCTCATTTGGAAACCAAGGACCCAGAGTATGGAGGAAGAATGGAGAGGCACATACTGCAAGATGCTTGAAGTCCAGTGTGAAGTTTCCACAGTCTGTATTGATTTGGGGAGTCATGTCATCTGCTGGTGTTGGTCCACTGTGCTTCATTAAGTCCAAGGGTCAATGCAGCTGTCTACCAGGAGATTTTGGAGCACTTCATGCTTCCTTCCGCAGACAAGCTTTATGAGGATGCTGACTTCATTTTCCAGCAGGACTTGGCACCTGCCCACATTGCCAAAAGCACCAAAACCTGGTTCAATGACCATGGGATTACTGTGCTTGATTGGCCAGCAAAGTTGCCTGACCTGAACCCTATAGAGAATCTATGGGGCATTGGCAAGAGAAAGATGAGAGACATGAGACCGAACAATGCAGAAGAGCTGAAGGCCGCTATTGAAGCATCCTGGTCTTCCATAACACCTCAGCAGTGCCACAGGCTGATAGCTTCCATGCCATGCCACATTGAGGCAGTAATTGCAATTGCTGCAAAAGGGGCCCAAACCAAGTACTGAGTACATATGCATGATTATACTTTTCAGAGGTCCGATATTGTTCTAAGTACAATCCTTGTTTTATTAATTGCATGTAATATTCTAATTTTCTGAGATTGTGGATTTGGGTTTTTCATGAGCTGTAAGCCATAATCATCACAATTATGATGTAATCAGTCTATCTCATATATTTGTTTCACCTTTTAAGTTGCATTACTGAAATAAATGAACTTTTGCACGATATTCAAATCTTTTTGAGTTTCACCTGTATATACAGTTGTGTTCAAAATAATAGCAGCGTGTTGAAAAAAGTGAATAAAGCTCAAAATCCTTCCATATTTATTTCCATACACACAAATGCATTGGGAACACTACACATTCTATTCCAAATCAAAACATGAAGAAAAATATATCAAATTTGTGTTGTTCCTCTAAGAAAATTGAAGAAAAGTGAATATTAGACTGTTCAAAAAAATAGCAGTGTTTGTATTCTTCTTTACAAACTCAAACATTCACTATATAAACTGAAAAATGTTTGAAGATTTTGCTTTCCTTTGAATCACACTTAATTAATATTTAGTTGTATAACCACTGTTTCTGAGAACTGCTGTACGTCTGTGTTGTCCCCTCTCCAGTCAACTTTTTAATCAAGGTACGCTGTTCTTCTGAACAATGTCTGGAACGACCCATTTTCCTCAGAATTTCAGAGAGAAATGCACTGTAACCAGCATGTACAACATTTGCTGCCTTCCTTCCTTAAATAAGGGTAATAATTGCCACCTGTTTTTTCAAAGAATGAATGACCTCACTAATATAACTCCACACTGCTATTATTTTGAACATGCCCCTTTCAATTAGTGATTCAATTACTGTCAGGAATGGACTTGCCAGTAATGGTGGGACTCACCTGCCTTGTGGGCTGCAGTACCAGGGCTGGCCAGCGGGTGCTCCCAGCAATCAGAGACTCAACCCTGCAGCCAGCCAAATACCTGAAGTTGATTATGCAGGTGTATTAAAGGGATGGCCAGACCTGCAGTCTCTGCCTTGGTGTGTGTTTTTCCTGGGCCCTGTATCTTGTTCCTGCATCCCTGTTCCTGTCACTGTCTGACTGATTCGTTGCTGACCCTGCCTGATCCGGACCTCTGCTGACTTCTCCTGTTTTATCCCTGGCTTGTGACCCCGACCATCTCTGCCTGACCCCCTGTACCTACCTGCCCGATTGTTATTGACCCGGCCTGCCTGACGACGCTTGCATTGTATGTACTGTTATCTGTGGGTGGTTTGGTTTGGTTCGTTTGCACTGTGTTATGTTTTTAGTATTGCACTGCGTTTATGTTTGTATTTAATAAATTATATTGTTTATAACATATCTGAAGCCTGCGTTTCCCTGCGTCAGTTCACATACCTCTGGTCATACCCTGGAGCCCTGACATTACACCAAGGCCAATCCTGACCAGAAGTGGCTGCACAGGGAAGCCATCTTGGCTTGTTGCTGGGAAGGATGGATCTTGATGAGGTTGTGTATTTGTCGCTGCTGGTTTTTGATGACAGAGAATATGCTATCAGGCTCTGAGGGAGTATACCCGGGATCAACTGCTAGAATGTATACGGATCGCTCATGTTCTAGTAGATCAGGGCACAGAGTTCTCTGAGGTGCAGCCATTGATTCAGGTTTGTGTAGAGTTGGTTTCATCTGGTACCCCTGAAAGCAGGAATGACTTTTTGCCACCATTTAGTGCAGACCAGGTAGAGGTTATTGGAGGATGATGTGGATTGCTTCTTGGAGCATTATGCTGCATGTTCACCACAGGTACTAAGAGATTGTATAAACGCAGTGCAGTCTTTGGTCAGACAGGCTTTGTGTAAGCTGAGCTTTGTTCAACCCATACTGCAGACATGGTCAGACTTGTTGCACCCAGCCTCAGTCAGCTTGCAAAAACCCAGTCCTGCTTCTAATCTATTTCTTCAAAGCTCTATTCCTGCATTCCCAACAGCACCTCCAGTTACAGCCCAGTATACCCTGCTATCTACCACATGTCAGTACCGTTCCCACTCGCTGCACCTATCCTGCACCTAACCCTGTAAAGAAGCCCTCTGTAGCAACTGTTCCCTCCCCTGTTCCCATCCTCCAGCTCTTCTCTGTCTCCAGCTGCTCCATCCGTTTACAAACCTGCGCTTACTTACAGTGCTCCGGTAACTAAAACCAGGAGAAGGCGAAAGTTCTTTCCAACCAATACCATCCTGCCAGTATCCAAACTGCTCAGCCTTCCATCTGAGAACCTGCCTTCCGTGGTGCAGCCTGGTGCCTCGGCGCCCACAATTCAGCCTGATGCCTCTACCCAGCCTGATGCCTCTACCCAGCCTGATGCCTCCATTCAGCCTGATGCCTCCATTCAGCCTGATGCCTCTACCCAGCATGATGTTTCTACCCAGCCTGATGAACTGATCCAGCCTGATGATTCCATTAGGCCAGTTGACTCGATGCCTGCTGTCGATCCAGACGATCCGGTACCTGATGACCCAGTACCTGCTGTCATGCCTGGTGACCCGATGCCCGCTGTCGAGCCAGGCGATCCAATGCCTGATGACCCAGTGCCCGCTGTCATGCCTGGTGACCCGATGCCCGCTGTCGGGCCAGACGATCCAATGTCTGACCCAGTGCCCGCGGTCATGCCAGTTGACTCGGAGCCCACTGTCGTGCCTGGTGACTCGGTGCCCACTGCCTTGCCAGATGACGCGGTGCCCGCTGGCGAGCCAAATGACCTGATGCCTGGTGACCCAGTGCCCGCTGTCATGCCTGGTGACCCGATGCCCGCTGTCGAGCCAGACGATCCAACGCCAGATGACCCGGTGCCCGCTGTCGATCCAGAAGATCCGGTACCTGATGACCCGGTGCCCGCTGTCGTGCCAATTGACTCAGAGCCCACTTTCGTGCCTGGTGACTCGGTGCCCAGTGCCTTGCCAGATGACGCGGTGCCCGCTGGTGAGCCAAATGACCTGATGCCTGGTGACCCGATGCCCGTTGTCGTGCCTGATGACCCGGTGCCCGCCGCTCCTCCTGGGGACCCGGCGCCCGTCGCTCCTCCTGGGGGCCCGATGCCTGTCGCCCCTCCTGGGGGCCCGATGCCTGTCGCCCCGCCTGGGGGGCCCGATGCCCGTCGCCCCGCCTGGGGGCCTGATGCCTGTCGCCCCGCCTGGGGGCCCGGCGCGCCCGCCGCTCCGCCTGGGGGCCCGGCGCCCGCCTCTCCGCCTGGGGGCCCGGCACCCACCGCCCCGCCTGGGGGCCCGATGCCTGTCGCCCCCTCCTGGGGGCCCGATGCCTGTCGCCCCTCCTGGGGGCCCGATGCCTGTCACCCCTCCTGGGGGCCCGGTGCCCGCCGCTCCGCCTGGAGGCCCGATGCCTGTCGCTCCGCCTGGTGGCCCGGTGCCTGCTGCTCCGCCTGGTGGCCCGGTGCCTGCTGCTCCCGCCTGGTGGCCCGGTGCCTGCTGCTCTGCCTGGTGATCCGGTGTTCAGCTCGATGTGCCTCTGCCCGATGTGCCGCTGCCCGGAGTCCTGCCCGATGTGCCGCTGCCCGGAGTCCTGCCCGATGTGCCGCTGCCCGGAGTCCTGCCCGATGTGCCGCTGCCCGGAGTCCTGCCCGATGTGCCGCTGTCCGGAGTCCAGCCCGATGTGCCTCTGCCCGGAGTCCAGCCCGATGTGCCTCTGCCCGGAGTCCAGCCCGATGTGCCTCTGCCCGGAGTCCAGCCCGATGTGCCGCTGCCCAGGGTCCTGCCCGGTGTGCCGCTGCCCGGAGTCCTGCCCGGTGTGCCGCTGCCCAGAGTCCTGCCCGGTGTGCCGCTGCCCGGAGTCCTGGAACATTTTGCCCAGCTAGGACTGTTTGGAGCGTCCTGAGGCCGCTCCTTGAGGGGGGGTACTGTCAGGAATGGACTTGCCAGTAATGGTGGGACTCACCTGCCTTGTGGGCTGCAGTACCAGGGCTGGCCAGCGGGTGCTCCCAGCAATCAGAGACTCAACCCTGCAGCCAGCCAAATACCTGAAGTTGATTATGCAGGTGTATTTAAGGGATGGCCAGACCTGCAGTCTCTGCCTTGGTGTGTGTTTTTCCTTGGCCCTGTATCTTGTTCCTGCATCCCTGTTCCTGTTCCTGTCTCTGTCTCTGTCTGACTGATTCGTTGCTGACCCTGCCTGATCCGGACCTCTGCTGACTTCTCCTGTTTTATCCCTGGCTTGTGACCCCGACCATTCTCTGCCTGACCCCCTGTACCTACCTGCCCAATTGTTATTGACCCGGCCTGCCTGATGACGCTTGCATTGTATGTACTGTTATCTGTGGGTGGTTTGGTTTGGTTCGTTTGCACTGTGTTATGTTTTAGTATTGCACTGCGTTTATGTTTGTATTTAATAAATTATATTGTTTATAACATATCTGAAGCCTGCGTTTCCCTGCGTCAGTTCACATACCTCTGGTCATACCCTGGAGCCCTGACAATTACACAGAATTAGCAGCATGCATGTCATGACTGTTGGGTCTGTTGGATTTCTATTACTCTACTACACCTGCTAGTAAATTATTTGCCATGTAGAAATATCATTTCTACCAAAAACAGTGATTGATCAGGTTAGTGATGTCTGACTGCTATTATTTTGAACACAACTGTATATATATCTCCATCCATTCCATCATAATTCACTGGAGAAGTCATTGAATTGTGAAATGTGTTATTTGTTCAGATCTAGCCACCTAATGCCATATACTGAGGACAAATGGTGGCACATAAATATACAGTGCTGTGAAAAAGTATTTGCCCTCTTCCTGATTTATTTTTGGCCACACTTACATTATTCAGATCATAAAACTAATTATTAAATGCAGTTTTTAAATGATGATTTCATTTGTTAAGGGAAAAAAGATGGCTAAATCTCTGGCCCTATATGAAAAGTAAATGCCCCCCCCCCCTTGATAATTCATGAATGAACTGTTTATTAATCAAATTGTTTGGAAAGTTGAGTTAAAATTCACTTGTCACACCCAGGCCTGATTACTGCCAGACCTGTTGAATCAAGAAATCACTTAAATATAAGCTGTCTGACAATGTAAAGCATGAACAAAGATCTAAAAAAACAACACATCATGCTGCAAGAAAGAAAATTCAAGAACATATGAGAAACAAAATAATTGACATGTATCAGTCTAGAAAGGATTACAAAGCCATTTCTAAGGCTTTGGGACTCCAGCGAACTGCCATGAGAGTCTTTATCCACAAATGGAGACAACTTGGAACAGAGGGGAACCTTTCCAGGAGTGGCCAGCCTACCAAAATTACTCCAAGAGCACAACAACGACTCATTCATGATATCATAAAAGAATCCAGAACAATATCTAAAGAACTGCAGGCCTCGCTTTCCTCAGTTAAGGTCAGTATTCATGATACAACAATAAGAAAGAGACTGGACAAAAATGGCATACAAGGGAAAGTTCCAAGGCAAATCAAAAGCCACTGTTGACTGAAAATAACACAAAGGCTTGTCTCACATTTGTCAAAAACATCCTGATTACCTCTAAGAGTTTTGGGGAAATATTCTGTGGACTGATGAGAAAAAAAGTTGAACTTTCTGGAAGGTGTGTGTCCCCTTACATCTGGCGTAAAACTAACTATAGCATTTCATAAAAAGAACATCATACCAACAGTCAAACATGGTGATGGTAGTGTGATGGTCTGGGGCTGATTTTCAGCTTCAGGACCTGGACAACTTTGCACTCTACCAGAAAATTCTGAAGGAGAATGTCCGGCCATCAGTTCATGACTTTAAACTCTAGCACACTTGGGTTATGCAGCAGGACAATGATCCAAAACACACCAGCACGTCCACCTCTGAATGGTTCAACGAAAAAAAATACGATTAAGGTTTTCGAGTGGCCTAGTCAAAGTCTAGACTTAAATCTGATTGAAATGCTGTGGCATGACCTTATACAGGCCATTCATGCTTGAAAATCCTCCAATGTGGCTAAATTATAAAAATTCTGCAAAGAAGAGTGGGACAAAAGTCCTCCACAGCGATGCAAAAGACTCATTGCCAGTTATTGCAATTGCTTGATTACAATTGTTGCCAGCAAGGAGGGCACAAGCAGTTATTAGGTTTAGGCGGCAATTACTTTTTCACATAGGGCCAGTTTTGGACAGCTTTTTTCCCTTAATATATGAAATAGTCATTTAAAAACTTCATTTTGTATTTACCCAGGTTATCTTTGTGTAATAATAACATTTGTTTGATGATCTGAATCGTTTAAGTGTGACAGCTAAGCAAAGAATAAAAAAACAGGAAGGATCAAACTTTCACAACAGTGTAATATGCCTGTATATATAAATCTGGCTTTTAGTGGAATTAATTCATACATTTTTGCTTTTATAGAATGGTTTGAAGCTTACTGGAGTTCTTTAAGCATAAAGCAAGAAAACAAATTTCTTATTTTGCTTTATATTGCTGAGTTTCCTCCAACTCTGTATCTCAGAACTAGAAACTTACTAGAGACCTGAAGTAAGATCTTATTCGAAAGAGCTGTCCCATGCTGGTTGCGAGCAAAGCACTGATATTCCCCTTCATAATCTTCAGGTCTACCACCCCCCCAAATGTCTATGACAAGGGTTCCTGAACGTCTGCGAAATGAAACCTTTGGATCCTTAGCAACATTGTAAAATTTTCCATTCCTGGTCCATGTAAATCTGGAAAAAAAAAATCAGTAGAATATAGGTAGGTAGAAAGACAGTCAGACAAAATACATACTATATAGGTATATATGTGAATACTATTTGGTATTAATATTACTATTATCTATGCACACTGTACACTACAGACTTCCTATCAATTACACATTAAAAGGCCGATAGTCTTCACTGGTTTTCTGATGAAGGCAACCTTTAACCAATTTGGTTGGGCTATCTACATCCTAGTACTCCCTAGATGACCCAAGATAGTAGTGCTTCAGCATTAGTGCCTTCTGTCTTTTATCACCAGCAATTAAGGACCTATGCAATATCTTTTGATGTGTGCCTTCTATCACTAGTGGAAGATTTGAAATATACCACCTCTGTACTTTATTTATTCCCTACAGTCAATCAGGCTAGCTACAAAAATCTTCAACATACATGTGCCCCCTCGGGTGTCACTTCATGTGACATTTGCACCAGTTAGCTAAATAACATACATAAAGAATGTATGAATGGAGCTTGTGTGATTAAAATAATCATGTGATTAAAATAATCGAATTTATTTTAAACAATTTAAAGCTAACATTTAATTTGTTTATATTTTGCTTCTCCTGGCTCCTCCTTTCCCCTCCCATTAACATGCTAATAACATTTTGGAATGAAACCATTCCATTTTAATTATATACCTTATTTTAGGCCCAATCATTTCATCATTGCGTCTCTGAGGTTCTTTATGCAATGCAGACAGATCATGGCGGTGGGGTTGGTAGGGTGCTATACATAACATCCAAAAACAACATAGCACCCACCCTTATTACTCCTTAATCAAAAGATCAATCTTATATAAAGAGAAAAATAGCCAGGCTGACATTTTTCTGTCATATCATTAGCAGAGCCAACAGAGTTAGTAACTGGGTGATGTAGCATTACTGATTAAGGCACCAGTCTCTCTGTTGGCTGTACTATCTACCTCACTCCCTGGCTGCAAAAGACCCATTTTTAATCTTACACTTCTGGCTAAGCAGAATATACTTACCTGAGAGTGTTTTTGATCCAGGGCTCCTCGGCCTCTGCGGAGGTTGAGTGGTCTGCGCATTTTCCACCCTGCCAGTGACTAGCAGGACACACACACATCATTATATGTAGATGCATAATTCCCTTTTATGGTCTATCTGAGACTGGCTTAATCCTCTGAAGAAGAGGATGACGCATTAGGTTCACCATACCATGGTTCCATACTATTTAGAACCTAGGGGGTTCTCTAGTAAATTGTTCACTGCATGTGGGGGCAGGCGACACATGGTCTCTGCATAATATACTCATCTGTTTTTATGTTGTTTTATATTGATGGAATTTGATATATAATATATAAAATTGGAGAATGTTTACTCTTAATACTCTTGTTACATATTGTCTGCGAACCCACAAAATTTATGGGGGTAATTTTTTTCCTTTGTATTGTTGTTAAGGTAAGTGGGCTCTGCATATGGGTCGGCTTCCTTCTCCTGGTTTGAGTTACAGTTTTACTTAACTGAAGCCACAGTCTTTGCTACCTGGGGTACTTCTTTGGGTTTCCACATCATTGCCTGTGTGATGTGAAAACCTCTTATTGGTGGAGGCGGCACATTCAGATAAACAGAAATTAGTAAAGGTACTCATTTGTCTTGAGCAGGAGCATGTGTCCAAAAAAAGGAATTTATACTGTCCAACATTTCGATGGACTGCAGTCCACCCTTGTCAAGGATGAACTGTGCTCCATGAAAGATAAATTGCAATCCATCAAAACATTGGAAATAAACGTTTTTGGAGAAATACTCCTGCTCAAGACCTTTAAGTGCCCCTACTACTTTATAATCTATATATAAAATACACATACATACACACTATATACACATTTCATGTAATGTAATGTAGTTTTTGATTTTTTTCTTAAATACAGGAATAAATGTATTTACCTAATCTGATTTCATATTACAAAATCAGAGAAAACCCATTTTTGTCATTGGAATTACATGTCTTTACTGGTTTGCACTTTGTGAGTGGATTTTAATAGCTTAATAAGGGATATATTTTTTATGGAGGTTGCCAGTGGGAAGCTAAAATCCGGTCTTTTAAAGGACCATTAGCAAGGAAATAGCTACTAAGGGATAGCGGTGGACAAGCAAAAGATTTACGAATGTTTATAGTGTTTATGACCTATATGATATATGGGTCAAGGCTGAAGGTGAGTGCATGGCACACTCATTGGTGATGGGAAGCGCGTTTGTATATGTTGGATGAAGTGAACACTTTACACCACTGTTGTGGAGCACAGTGTGTTTTGCTGTAATGCGAGCGCATATGTTTTGTGCATTCAATCATTAGCTTTAATTAAAATGGTGTTGTACTACGATATATACTTTTGCTTTTTATGTACATGTTTTTGGAGTCGTGATTGCGTGAAGAAATTCTGGATTCATCGCCACATGAAAGGATTCACTTCTGTAAAAACGCATTTGACCTATTATAATTTGTAGGTCAAACTTAAAAGGTGATCAGGGAGAGTATCTTGAGCACAAGTACTGTATGTCTTCTGGAACGTGATTGTTAAACGCACTAATCTGGACATTCTGTGACTTGGGAGTTGGACTATTATTTGTAGTGTGGATTTATATTGCATGGGATTACTGGAAGATTATTATATTTCATTTATATGTCTGGATGAGTAGTTAGCGCACTACACATTTTTGTTTACATAAATTTTAAGTGAGAGTACACTTAGTGAGTGGGTGCATTAATCTTCCTTTGTTTTATTTTTATTTAGGGTGTAGCAGCACAGGAGTGTGAGCCTTTTCACTTTTTGATTTCATATTACGTTGTACTTTTTAAATGACTTACGTTGGATGTGGATTTCCCCGAGCTTCACACTCAATGATGATGTTATCACGTGGATCAACAATATAATTTTTCACAGATTGCTTAGTAATGGTTGGCGGTTGAATAACTATAGAAAAAAAAGGAAAAGTTAAAACGTTAGACTAAGTTTTCGTCTGAGATCTTGAACTTCCAAATTAATTAAATAAGAGCTTTGCAATGTTCAATTTTTAAACAAAACATAACCAAACATCAGCAACCTGGCAAGCAACATTTCCATTTGTCTTCCCTAAAGATACTTGGCCCTTGGTATTTAGCCTTTTAAGCACACAAACAGACATAATCATACATATTTGTGCTCTTACCAATATGCTCAGTATTATATATATTGGATAGGTTATTATTAGGCATCTTTTTGCATGCATCATGCTCATTTAAAAGAAAAAAACACGTGCTCAGTCATCCAAATTCCCATTTTCATTTGGTTATCAGTAGGCTATTTAACAAGAAAACATATGATTAAAGTATGACAACTTTTAAGCAATCATGCAGCTAGACAGTGGCTGTGTATTTTTACTTTGCAGCAAGATAGAAACAAATTGGACTCCTAAATGAAACTTACGCTCTCGTTGAATGATTGCTGTTAATTTCCATGACAGCAAATAAAAAGTTGAAGAAGAGATAAAGTTAGTGAAACAAAAACACATAAATTAATATACAGGTGTTGCGTGCTGTCCCAAAAAAACAACTGTGGCAACTTTTTAAATAGAAATCTTGATTTTCATATGGAGGGGCTTATGCTTGGTTACTTACCTTGTCCATTTTAAGACATACTGCAGCCATATTACTCACTCCTTCTCACAACTTTTGTTGCTCATCAGAAATATTTGGTCAGAGTTCTCAGACCTCCTTCTCATGTAGCTAACTCACTTAATCTGCTAAAACATGCTCTATACTTCCCTCCTCCAAACATCTTAGGCTCCATTCACACCTAGGCAGATCCTTTTTTGGCTGCCCAGTGATTTTGTTTGCGCAATAATGGCATTTTTGTAGTGCCGCGATTGCGGCAAAGATGCCCCGCGTTTTCAGTTGCCTTTGAACTGAATGGCACCTGAGCACGTGAATGCGCATTTTCACAGCGCATTTTCAAGTCGTGGGCGGAATTGAGGCAATTCCGTCTGCGTTTTGAAACACCTATGCATGAATGGAGCCTTATATGTACTCATCCCTTCACCCCAACACCACCATTCATTAGATGTTCTCCTCCAACATTTCCTTCCAATTCACTTTCATTGTTCTGTAACAATGGGGCCTTCCTTCATCCTTGGTAAAAATTGTTACTGGGAAGCAGAAGAGGTGGGAATGGAAACTAAATTTTAAGAATTACAAACTGCATGCAATAACATCTTAAACATACACATATATAAGAAGATAAATAATGTAATCATCTCTTAGATTGTAAGCTCCAAGGAGCAGGACCCTTCTAACCCTCTTGTATTGAACTGTATTGTTGCTGTATTGTCTCCCGTTATATTGTAAAGCGCTGAGAAAACTGTTAGCGCGATATAAATCCTGTATAATAATAATAATAATTAAATTAAAGTGAATCACAGCATCACAAAATTAAGAGTACATTAGAATTTTCACTATAGAAATCCATCACACTGCATTATTTTAAAAGATATGGGAAAAAAAATTAAGAATGTGCAGCTGGAAAGAACATACTGCTAAAAAGAAGGTATTACATCACCCAAGTAGAGTAGCTATAGTAATTATGAAAATACAAAACTGCATTAATTTTAAACACTATCGGCCAATTATGGAAAATAAATTGTACACAGAACACTTTCCATAAGAGAACACACAGAAACTCGCCAGTTAAAACAATTAAAAACAATCCGGATTGTAATGCCCTAACTTTACATATCAATAGCAGGGCTGAGATAGTCATAAATGCTTTCTATCAGTCTGTTCTTTCCAGCTGCATATTCTTTTTTGACTTAGTCTTTTGACTTTGTCCTTTAAGGTTAGCACCCACACCCTTAGATTGATTATACGGTGAGCTAGAGAGCTAACTATTAAGGATACCCCTTCCTGTGATGTGGTAATAATTTTTTGCGACAAAAAATAAATAAAACCAGGGTACACAAAAACACTTCTAACAACCACATTACATTTCCTTCAGCCCCACATCCCCAATTGTTTTTTTAAATATTAGTGATAAAGCCTTCAAGTATGGTTTGGTAGACATTGGCCAGTACATGAGCGAGAATAGGCCCATATATTGACACACAAGGCACAGGCAGGAGTTTACCTATTAAACACGAGAGCATCAGCTCTCAGAGATGCGTGTAAAAATTGTGCAGTGGCAGGACAGTATGGCATCCACATTGCAGGCCCAAATGCAGAGACACAATGCAGAGGCAGGTGTTTTCTTACAAAATAAGGTGTATCAGCACCTAGATATGTGTGTTTAAACATTGTGCAGTGTCAGGACAGTATGGCTTCAGCAGGAACAAACAACTGTTTTCTAAAAAAAAAAAAAAAAAAAAAAAAGACAATTGAGCATCTGCTGTAAGGATATAGTAAACACTGACCAGTGATGGCTCAGTTTTACATCAGTGAGAAGAGGCTCAGATACAGAAATACAAGTCATAAGCAGGTATTTTCCTACAAAAAAAGATGTCATTTCTCAGATATAGCTGTGTACAAATTGTGAAAGCAGGGCCAAATGTTGAAACAGAAGACATAGAGAGGTGTCTCCAAAAAATTGTGCAGTGGCAGTACAATTTGGCTTCAGTGAGATCAGAGCCAAATGTTAAGACAGAAGATAATCGGAAAAAAGTTCCATGCATCAACTCTTTTTGGATTTTTGGGTTTTATTGCTTTTTTGGCAAACAGGACACACAAAAGGAGAACTGCCAGGAGGAGGCAATGTTAGCAGCAGTAAGAATAAAGGTTTAGTCCTTTTTTGTAAACTAGATGCTAAATTATATTTTTATTATTTAATCAGTGGTATCTGCAACAAGCTTTTGGTAGGGCTCCCTGTGATCCAGACCTAATTAATTATATTAAATTAAGCTGGTCAATAGTGTCTGCGTACTGCTTAACTCACTGTCTTCCTCCATTTGCAAATGCTAGTCTTCCACAGTGGAAGATATAAGGAATGTACATCAATGTAATATTCCTCCTTTAGCAAATTAGAAATGGAATGATAAAATAGATCTACAATCTTCTGATTTTGCATAGTTGCAGTTCTGGCAGAAAACTGTCTGCCCTGTGACTAGAAGATAAATGATGCAGAACGTAAGAGCCAGTCATCCCTGCTATGCTTGGTAGGATGTACCTTGCCTCTGCTGTGTATGGCCCTATAGCTATGTTGTTCTGCAGCACCTGCTTGCCTCCTACTACCTTCAAGTGCAGCAACACTGCCTCTGCTTTTAGGCTTGCTGTAATTTTTTGGTGGGGTGCACGCTTTTTTTCTTACTAGTGATAAGAGGGTAAGGTAAACATGAGTAATATGAAGTATTTTTGGTGCACACTTTTTTCGCAAGTGCAGTTGTTCCAGATCTTAGTAAATGAGCAGAAGCTCTGCTGACCTCCGTCATTCAATCATGTGCAAGCAAAATTATGTTTTTTTTATTTTCCTTGGACGTGATTGGGTATTCTTTGCAAAGCGAAGATTTACCTCATTTACTAAGCTCTGGAACAACTGCTCTTGCGGAGTGCAACTGCACTTTGCAAAGTGCACATTCTAGTTGCCTTTCGTAGATTAACCCCCATGTATTTTAGGGTGAGTTGACAGCTTAAACAAACAATAGATGATTTGTATAGAACTATCTGAATCTAGATTTAACTTAGTTATAAAATATTCAATTATTATATTCAAATAAGTTTTTACAATTAATAAGTCAAATAAAATAAAATATGTTAATGTAGAATGAGTAATTTAAATAACACTAAGGGTGGCATTTTTTTTTTCATTTTGTATTGAGTAAAAGTTATAGAGTGAGAGTTATAACTCCTGTCAGGCTTGTTTGCCATCAGCATTCTTTTATTATTTTTATTATTATACAGGATTTATATAGCGTCTACTCAGCGCTTTACAATATAAAAGGAGACAATACAGCAATGATACAGTTCAATACAAAAGGGTTAGGAGGGCCCTGCTCCTTGGAGCTAACAATCTAAGAGGGAGGGGCTGGTGGTACAAAAGGTAATAACTGTGTGTCAACTAATAGGAGAAATAGAAGATTTGGTTATTAGCTGAAGGCAGGATAGGCTTCTTTGAAGAGATAGGTTTTCGGAGATCGCCTAAAAGTGGGCAGAGTAGGCGATAGTCAGATAGATTGGAGTAGAGAATTCCAGAGGATGTGGGAGGCTCTGGAGACGTTTTGGAGACAAGCATGGGAGGAGGAGACAAGGAAGCTAGAGAGTAGGAAAATCGTGGGAGGAACAGAGGATGGTTTGGGTGATATTTCGAGAAAAGACTGGTGATGTAATTTGGGACAGAGTTATAAATGGCTTTATATGTGTATGTTAAAGTTATGAATTTTGTTGGTTGGGCAATGGGAAGCCAGTGGAGGGATTGGCAGAAAGGGATGTCAGATATGTAACGGTTGCTAAGGTGGATGAGTCTGGCAGCAGCATTCATGATAGACTAAAGAGGGGATAGCCTGCGATTAGGTAGGCCAATGAGGAGGTGTGACGATCGTGGCGTCAGACCCCAGCCCTTCTCACCAAACTCGTGACCGAAGGACTAGCCAATCTAAAACCGTGCTGTCACGTGCGTAACAATGCCACGCCCAGCTGCACCCTGCACAAAGATTTTCCAGCTAATGGACCACAATCGATGTACCGGCAGCCTGAGAGCGATTGTTACTGGGTCAGGGTAATTACGCAATTAACCCTTCACACTGCCACCACCTCCTTTTTATACAGAGAAAAAGGAAACGTGGCAATATCAGCAATAACACTATGATGTTTGAATAATCGTCTGTATACCACTGTCACTGCAGGCAGGGTATATAGAGGTTTAAACACACACAGTAGCACTCTTCAGAGACAGGGGTTCTTAGTTTGCATTAAAGAGCTTTAGAAACAGTTCAACACTTTCAGAAAAAGTGCAATAAAAATATTTACAGAAAAAGACGTAGCCAATATATATATATATATATACACAGAGAGCAATAACACAGCAAAGAGATAACAGAAAGGAATTTAGAGAGATAAAGTACTTGCCAAACGTCCTGGTTTAAGCAGTGTCCTGAGCATAAGGGCCTTATCTTAGTTCCGATGTTAAAAGGGAGCTTCTTCAACTTCAACTCAACTCAGCTTAGCTTAACTTTCTGCCCCAAGCATAACAGCTTTTCTAGGAACTCAGCAGGGTGTCTCCTTGAAGCAGAGAACCAATCGCCTCATTTGGGGAGGGAGTTGTATGCTAGAACCAAAATCCCTCACAAGTTGATGCCAGGGCAATAACGTTCCCTGGATACATGTAACATTCTATCCACGAGTAGATTAATATGCAAAATCACCTGCCGAACATCTAGATATGAAATATGACATACTTGTTGGGACGGTTAAGGAGATATCACTTTCTGCTCTCCTGTAAATGTCAGCTAGGGGGTGTAATATATCAGGCGACTTGTATTAAAGTGACCAATCTGAATATAGGCCTGTTCTCCTGGTAAGTCTTTTATATTCCAAGATATGAAATCATAGATGAAAATGGATTTTGAATGTGATGTCTGTTTTACGGTTTATCTGGAATGTCTTTGAAGCTCAGTGAAGGACTTGGTTTATGGCTTTACGATCCTTTTCCAGCAAGAGTCTTGCAGACATATGGGGGCTAGGCTAATTGGGGTTTATAACCATGAGCTCTCCCGCTGGGCCTTGATGTTATTTTGAGCTCAGCATCCAGGGACCACATGTCACTCAACAGAGAGGGAGGGGGGATTTGGAGAGGAGAGAGATACAAGATGGAGGATCCTTAGCAAGATGGGTGACTGCATCCATCTCTGTATGCACAATTGCTACAGGAAGGAGTTGGACTAGTCAAAGTGAGAGATAACAAGCGAGTAAATAAGTTGCTTAGTGGTTTTGGGTGTTAAAAAATGGGACTATCTTGGAGATGTTGCGGATGTGAAGTCTACAAGATTTTGACAGTGATTGGATTTGGGGCTGAAAGGACAGATGGGAGTCCAGGATTACACCTAGTACCCTGGCATGAGGGGAGGGACTGTTGGTTGTATTATTGAACTTGATGGAGAAGCCAGGGGAGGGGGCATGGGCTGGAGGAAATAGAGTGAGCTCCATTTTGGAAATAATTAGTTTGAGGAAGTGGAGTGACATCCATGCTGATATATCACTTAGTAGGTTAGTAATGCATGAGGAGACTGAAGGGGTGAGGTGAGGAGTAGAAAGATAGATTTGTTTGTCATCAGCATAGATATGGTACTTGAAGCCATGGGAGTTTACCAAGTGACCAAGGGAGGAGGTGTAGATGGAGAAGGGGTCCAAGGACAGAACATTGAGGGACCCCTACAGAAAGAGGAACTGGAGCAAAGGAGACAGAGTTATAGGTAATACTGAAGGAGAGCTGCAATAGGTAGGAGGAGAACCAGGAGAGAGCAGAGTCTCGGAGGCCAAGAGAGTGGAGTTTTTTTTTTGAGGAGGGGATGGTCAACAGTATCAAAAGCCGCAGAGAGGTCAAGTAGTAAGAGTATTGAGTAGCAACCATTGGTTTTAGCAGTTGGTAAATCATTAGTGAGTTTTAGTAGGGCAGTTTCAGTGGAGTGTAGTGAGCAAAAGCCAGACTGTAAAGGGTCAAGAAGGTTGTTGTCAGTGAGGTAGGAGCTCAAGCGATTGTAGACTAAGCTTTCTAAGAGTTTAGAGGTAAACGGGAGCAGGGAGATGGCTCTTAAGTTGTTCAGGTTGGTGGGGTCCACTGAGGCCTTTTTAAGTATGGGATTGGTATGTGCATGCTTTAGAGGGGAGGGGAAGGTGTCTGTAGAGAGGGAGAGATTGGAGATGTGAGTGAGGGAGCAAAGGATAGAAGAAGAGCTTGACCATAGTAGTTGTGAGGGAACAGGATCCAGGGAGCAGTTGGTGAGATGGGCTTCTGAAAAAACTTTAGTAACCTCTTCAGTAGTAGCAAGGGCAAAAGAGGAAAGTGATGAGGGAGGTTTAGTATAAGGTATGCTAAGTGGGATAGATGTCTGTGTAGTGGAGTTGCCCCTACGAATTGTATCAATCTTGTCTTTGAAATGATTGGCAATCTCATAAGCAGTGAGTGAGTTACTGGATGAAGGTGGGAGAAAATAGAGAGTTAAAAGTAGAGAAGAGATGATGAGGACTGGATGAAAAGTTATTAATAAGAGTGAAAAAAGTAGGCTTGTTTGGCAGTATGGAGGGAGGAATTGCATTTTAAGAAAGCACATTTATATAGGGTGAATGCTTTTGGAGAGACTTCCCTTCACTTCCTGTCTCATAGCAAAAGCAGGAAGAGGCAATTCCCTCAAAATGAAGGAATCACTGGTTGTCACCAGAACTTTTGAAACATTTCTTCTCTGTTCTCGTTGGTAGTAACCCAGAATTTTCTTTCACTTTCATTCTTGACGATATCAGTAAACAAGACAAATAAAGAAGGTGAATCTCCCTAATGAGGCACAGACAAAACTCATAAGCGTTCTAATCTTTCTCCACTCCTTCCCAAATTAAGAAAAAAAGTTTTGCCTTTGGTTATAGCTATCCAACATTAGCATCTTTACACATCTACAGTATAATATTCCCTTTAACTTACGGTCCAAAGGAACTTCAATAGCATAAACAAGATGGAAAAGGAAAACAATAAAGGATGTCCATAAGACAGGTTCAGACTTCATTTTGCTTCTCAGGATGAAACGTGAGCTGCCTTAAAGCTTTCTATAACCAGATCTAAAGAGACACAAAAGCATTAGTCAATAAAACAAATGCATATATTATGAAAACAGCCTATTAATCCTACAACCTACTTACAATGAAAACTTCTGTGACAGTACATGCAGGCAGGTTTTGCTCTGCCATCAATACACTTCTCAGTAGCATGTGAGATTGGTGCCTGTGTGTATGTGCTTTCTTACACCTCATTTTCAAACACAATGGTCCAGCTTCAGGGCTGATAAAATCAAGAGAATCACTGATTCATCTTTAACTATCTGGTAAGCTTCATATGATTCTCTACAGACTGGACAAATCTGCATGCTCATTTGCTCATCATTATTATTCACTCAGATTGTTTAGAAATTAAGGTTATGTCATATGCTGGATTTTACAGCACAAATATTTCTATACAAAAATATATAAACGTAAATCTGTTAAATATATATGTTCAAAGCAAGTAAAAGGATTAAGGCCTTGATCACATGGGTGCATGGATGTGCACTCTGGTATGCACTCATAGATCCATGCAGGTCCATGCAGCTGGATGCATGTCAATGATTTGAACCACATGCCTGCATGCTCCTGCACAGAACACCTATGGGTCCCAAGCAGCTGAAGGCAACCGTTCTTACAGGTGTATGGATCGTTATACTTGACTGGATGAGGCCCTAAAACATAAACTTTGTGAACCAAATGTTAAAGATATTGTTGGGGGGGGGGGGGGGGTTAGCAATAATAATAGTAATCAAAATCAGTAAAATAGATGTATTTGGTTTACAAAGTTTATGTTGTAAGCCCTCATTCACACAGGTGTACTGATCCATACAGCCATGTGAATGAAGCCTTAAAACATACATTTTATAAACTAGATTTTAAACTATAGGTTTTTTTAAGCAATAATAACAGTAATCAGAAACAGTAAAATGGATATAAAAGTGTTTTATTTTATAGAAGTGAACCATTGCTTTGCCCATGAAGACACTACAGAATGATGTAAATACTTGCTCCCCCCAAACAGATTGGCTTTCTGAGAGAGTCACTGGGTCCTATCAATCTGCAGTGGGTTCACTTTATTAAGGTCTGTTGCGGGTTTTAGGGTGAGTTGACACCTTAAACATAGATGATTTGAATACAACTATCTGAATCTAGATATAATATTATATATAAATTGTTCAAATAAATATTTCAAATTAATAAACTAAAGAAAATAAAATATGTTCTTAATATAACATAATAACAATGAGTACAGCTTTGTAACCAAAACATGTTAGCTTTCAGCTGTAAACTGGAGCATTTGATTTTTACATACAGTAAATAAACTCTGTGAATTATGTATGAATTCCAGCATTGACTTTATAGAATAAGATTATAAATTATAAGATTATAATTATAAAGATTATAAGGGTTATAAACCATGTCATTTTTTTCTATCTGCATCTCATTAAGGAAATTGCTGGTGCTATTAAATTTATTTCAGTGAGGCTTTTTGGTCATGTGGTGTTTGCTAGCACCCAACTTTCCACCTTTCCAAATGAAAAGTGCCTGTCAAAGATGAACTGCTTATAGATGGTGATAAATGCTCATGAGTCTGCATAAACCTGAAACACCACTGTAGCTATATGGATGCATGAGCATGTAAGGAGAAACATTTAAATTTGCTTACATACTCACCTCCGCTGCAGCATTGGTCTGATGCTACAGCTGTCTTTTGCTGACTTAAAGCCCAAGAACTGAGAGATCACACAACTGCTGATCATTCAGTTATTGATCAGCTCTGAAAATGAAGCGCACTCCCATGACCCAGAAGAGAAGTATGGCCAAAAAAAAAAAAAAGCTTTGTGGTAATTTTTCTTTCAGTTTTAATATGTTTATGTAATTTCAAAATGCATTTGCGGAATCAATAGCAACAGAGCAAAGCATAAATCCTTTAACCACTTTCCGACCGGCCGTTGTATGTAAACGGCCGGACAGTGGCACTGCAGGCTCTGGTGGCCATTTATAAACGGCCTCCCCGCACCCTGGGAGCGCGCGCACCGCAATCCGGTGCCCGCTGTTTCCTCTGGACACAGTGAAATACCGATCGTCGGATGGGACCTCTGTACAAGGTCCCGATCATGTGATCACCGATTGGCCAAAGTAGTAAGCAAGATGTCACTTCTGACATCATTGCTTACTACGTGTGAAATCTGTGAATGATCACAGAGATCACATGGTACAAGGCTATTCACAACAGCCTTGTACCATGTGACAAGCTGTGACCAATCACCAATCACAACTCACTCAGTAGTTCTCAATGGCTGCAAGAATGCAGACTGAGAGAAAGAGAAATGATTGCTTTTCCATCCTATATGGGTGTAAAGCAATCAGTGTAAAATAAAAAAAAAAAAATCTTCATCACCACCCAAAAGTAGTACAGTGTCACCATGGTGACACTGTACTGATAGGGTGACAGTATGTAAAAAAAAAAAATAATAAAATAAGTAATAATATTAAAAAAAAATATATATATAAAAAAAAATGTTTAAAAATTATAATTTTTGGTTATAAACTAATTTGGATTATTTTACTAAAAAGATAACGGAATAAATTTTGGCCAAGATTTATGATGAAATATTATTTATTTGCAACATTTTATAAGAAAAACACTTTTTTTCAAAGTTTTTGGACATTTTCATTTACATAGCAAAAAAAATAAAAATCCCAGTGGTGAATAAATACCACCAAAATAAAGTTTTATCTGTCTCAAAAAAATGGTAAAAAATTCATATGAGTACAGTGTTGCATGACCGCGCAATTGTCATTCAAAATGTGATAGCGCTGAAAGCTGAAAATTGCCCTGGACAGGAAGGTGCCCAGACTGGAAGTGGTTAAATAAAGAAACCTCCTAATGCTGTTTGTCGTGTTACAAAACTAGCAAGTTTTGTAGGGATGGCCTCAGCAACAGCATACTCTTGCAGTGTATATCTGGCTGTGGAATTTATCATTATCACAACCAGCATGGCTTTCTGACTGCAGCACCCCCAATGAAGTGATATGTGAGTCATTTCAGGAAAAAAGCTTTTTTACTAGTAGTTTTAGCATTTACATGTGTGTGTTATGATCAAGTGTTACTAGGCCAGCAGAGGTGTGGACCATTGGCTTCTGCGAGACCACTGGTCCACACTTCACTTAGGGGTGAGTGAAAAATTTGCCAAAATTCACCAGTATAATAGTATTTGAATCCTGAATTATCAGTGTAAAATTCAAAGATTCACATGACAGGCTCAATATTTTGTGTTCCTGTTGAGTTGGTTCTCACAGATGCGATCCCCACACATTGTGTTTTGAGTGCCATTATGAAAAGGGTCCTGTGCGAGTTTGTAATGGTGCAATCCAGGCTTTCAAGTGATAGAGTAGAGTGGCATGCGGAGATAAGATCCGCATGCCACTCTACTATTGACAGGCTCTACGCATGCCACTCTACTATTGACAGGCTTTTTCGCATTTTAATCTATGGGAGGCTTTTTTGTATTGAGGTCTATAGGAGGAGTTTTCACATTACAGTCTATGGGAGGCCTTTTCACATTGAAGTCTACAAGGGGCACTTTTGCATTGAAGTCTTCAGGAGGCTTTTTTCCCATAGAAGTCTGTTGACAGCATTTTCACACTGAAGTCTATGGGAGGCATTTTCACACTGAAGTCTATGGGAGGCGTTTTTGCATGGAAGTCTATGGGGGGCATTTTCCCATTGAAATCTATGGGAGGCATTTTCCCATTGAAGCCTATGGGGTACGACTTCCCATTGAAGACTATGGTGAGCGACTTGCCATTCAAGTCTATGGGGTGCGACTTCCCATTAAAGTCTTTGGGGCACAACTTCCCATTGAAGTCTATGGGGCGCGACTTCCCATTGAAGTCAATGGGAGGCAGTGTGTGAACCCAGGCGCCATGACGCAATTTCTAGTCACCACGGTGACCTGATGCCAGGGATTTTTTCAAGCCCTGATTTAAAACATGTATGGGGTATAAAATTGCCAAGTGTTTTGAATGTTTACATTAAGTAAAAATTATTATTAATAATATTATTATACTGGATTCATATAGCACCAACAGCTTGTACAGTGCTTTAAAAAGAAACAGTACATGTTACAATGCAATGCAGGACAGGGTTTGGGGGGCAATGCTCATAAGAGTTTGCAATCTAAATGGAAGGGTAACTGATAAAGGCTGAAGAAAGAAAAGCTTCCCTGAAGAGATAAGCTAACATCTAAAGGTGGGGTAGGGAGTTCTGAATGATGGGAGAGGCTCTAGAAAAGTTGTGGAGTTTCATTATATATATGTATATATATATATATATACAGTATGTGGCTATATTCCGAAACTTATACCACTTGTCAGAATAAAAAGTAATAGAAGACTATTGAAAATGTTCTAACAGTTATTGAATTTAAAAGTAATGCATTTAGTTTGTAGCAATTTTATGCATTTCCACTCTTTGAAACTGTATGGTCTCCTTTTCCCCATCCCATGTTTTGCACATTTATTATGTAGCCTCAGGGTCAGCCCTCTCCATCTGCTTTAAAGTCCAGCAGGTGCACGTCATATCATCCTTCCAATGCTCTGGTGAACTAATTGTACTGAATATTCTCCATGTACAATTTCAATATCTATAGCCTATTTACAAGGGTACCATGTGCTAAAGAGGTTATTTGGCTTCAATGCTTAATGGGTAACTCCACTTTCATGGGAAGAAACAAAAAGAAAAAAATGAAAAAAGTTAATCTAGCTCAACCAATAGAAAAAAAATTGAATAAATGAATAGAAAATATACATACACAGAATGCTATGACCACCATTGATCCAGAGGAAGGCAAAAAAAAACCTATAAAGCATGGATGGTCCTATTTGCTCCGCTGGGGAAAAATAAATGCCTTTCTCATCCCCAGAAAGAAATTTGATATTCCCTGGATGAACAATCTCTGGT